TTGAATTAATTACATAACTTGTTGATTACCAAAGATAATTTGATTTTTTGATGTTTACCATTGAGAAAAATGAAAACCTCAAGAGCACCATTGAGAATTTCCCTAATAATAATAATAATAATAATAATAATAATATTGATACAATTCATTGTTCAAATGGTTATTTTTTTTTTAAATTTGTTTAAATGGGTTAGATACATGTAAGTGTTTTGTGTTCTTTTGTCATAATAATATTTTATTTTTAAATTAAATAGTATATGTGTTTAAAATGTTTAGAGGTTTCAAGTTTTTAATATATTTTCCATAAATTTTATAATTATATAGTATATTTTTCGTAAATATTTTAATATGTACATTTGTATATACACATATGTATAGTAATAAATAATCAATAAATAATCAAAGATCACTAATCTGTAGTTAAAAATCACTAATTAATAAGTTCAGTTCAGTTCAGTTCAACTGAGTTCAGTCAATCAGAACAGGCCCTAACTATATTACCCAAGCTAGCAACCTAGCAGAGTAGCAGATTCTTTAACCATTTTAAAATAATTACAGCAGAGGAGAATGCATAAATGCATAATCCTAAAAGTCACAACATGGACAAAAAATTTAGGAGGGTCGAGATTTGAACTGCAACATCTTGTTTAAAACATATTCATAGTATACTTAACCAATGTACTACACCTGTAGTATATGCTTATATATATTTTTTTGAAAGGGTAGTATATGCTTATATAAGACAACATATTTACTTACATACAATACTAAAAAAATAAAATAAAAAAAACTTGTTGACTCAAACCAACATTTGCCTCCATCTAGTAAGAGATAAAATAAAAAACCAATCTTGCTTGATAACGATGGTAGGAAAGGTTATTAGCTCGAAGCCTCGAATCCACCATTTACGTACATATGCTTGTAAGTAGAGGCATTCCCTTACCTTAAGATGTAACATTTTTTCTTATACATAGCATTTTTTGTTTTTTAATTGATGAAGAACTGAAGAATAGATATTCCTCTCAAATATGGAGTAACTCTATGCTAAGTTGGTAACATCCTAATGGGCAATTGAACATAATCTCATGCATTCCCATCTTTATGATCGAAAAGAATATACTCCCTCCGTCCCCTTTTGATAGCCCCTTATGGGCAATTTCCACAGGAATTAATAAACACAAATAATAAGGTTAAAGTACATTGAAAAAGTAAATTGACATTAGATATGCAAAAAAGTAGAGAGAGAAATCAATAAAAGTACATGAAAAAACAAAAATTACGTGGAAAATTTAAAAATTAATATTAATGGTTGTTGGAAAAAGCAAATGGGGTGAACATTATGGGACAAAAATTTGCTCATAAGAGACTATTAAAAGGGGACGGAGGGAGTATAACATAGCAAAACAGCTCTTTTAGCCTTCTACATAGAGTCAATAGTAGTATGTAATCCAAGTAGTGTATGACAATTTGGAAAGAATTCCTTAGCTTCATTAATTAGCATTGATCAAAATGATCACCTATGGCTATGAGTTGGGTGGCATTAAACTACAAACTTGTATGTGGCTACACCAACACGTGACTTTGCCCAAATTTGGAGAGTCTGTTTTAATATGCTTGTCCTTAAATGAGTTTAATCCATAATCTCCATATCAGCTAGTGTCGACGAATATGACCAAGGAAGGTTTAATAAATGAATAAGACAAACCATCATTTTTAATTGCTAAATTATACACGAAAATTATTATGACAACTCCATAATTTTTTACTTTGTATGTTGTACAGAACTACAAATCATGTAAAATGAAACGAATTAAAGATTATTATTTTAAATAGTTTTCATTTGGTTCACATATGAATTAAATTTCTACATTAATTCCTATTTCATGTGAACACATGAAATGTTTAATAATGGTATATTGATAGAAATGAAGCTCATCACATCCGGATAATAGTAATACATGAAGTTTGAAACCGATGGAGCCACCTTAGCTTGTGCCTTGGGATTTTTTGCTACAATATTATGAGCTTCAGTAACAAATTTATTGTATACCACCCAAAAAAAATTACATGTAAACACACAACAACGTTACTCAGAGGAGATCAGCGTAGCGTGTCCGAATTGTTTCCATGGTCTACAAGGAGTGCAACCGTCTAAAGCAACATTATCGATTTGTACACTTGTGTTGTATATGACACCAGGCCTCCAATTCGCCGGTAAGCCTTCGTTAACATAGAAAAACTGTGCATCGAAGCCGGAATTGATGATAAATCTAAGCATCAACTTCCCGGTTGGGGCGTTGTTTGTGTCAAAGACTGCCCCATAATTTCGGCTAAAGTAAACCCAGTTACTTGGATGGTCAACCTATATGTATGCAAATAAAAGGCAAAAACATATTGGTTGAAAAAGAGTTTAGAGATACTATATACTGGCAAATCATGCATGGTTTATTAGGACATGTAACGCTTAATTAATTGCTTACCGAGGCCACGTCTCCACCTAAGGTCTGGGTTTGACCACCTTGGTAGAGGACTTTGATTGCTAAATAGTTTGGAAATTGGCTGAACTTTTCAACTTGGATCGCCAAGTTTTTACCTTTGTAATTACATGGTATCCTGATGCATATTGAATTAATGATTAATAGAGGGTAAATGTGCTATCTATCTCATCATGGACTATCCACTTTGTTTTCCCAATTAGTTGACTAATAAATCAAGCAATGGTAGTCTATATTACTTGGACTCTTCATTTCACCCCACGTACCAGTGTCGGATCCTCGACACTCGGACATGGGTATGACACCCGGACACTTCACTTTTAGTTCAAAATCATGGAATTTTTTTCACAAAATAGTCGAGTCGGACGCTTGGACACGTACCCATGTTAAACATGGGTACCCGATTCCAAGTAACATAGATTATAGTTAAGTTGGAAAAATGCATATTTTTTCCGTCCAGAATTAATGATAAGATCACTTAAAATATCGATCAAATATAACCCACAACTAAATTTAGACAGGTGGAGTATACTTTTATGCAAATACAGATTGATAAACAAATAGATTAGTGATGGCACAAGTTTCGAATAATTATAAATAACGATGATCACCTTCTATATTCGACATCAGCGATCCCAAGGCGTAAGAGTTGCTTGTCTTTGCCAGGCAAAGCCATGGCCCTAAAAGCTCTGCTACTTAACACAAAATCAGTGGTGTTGCTCTTATCAGTGTGAGTATCAGTCACTACTATCGTTGTTCCTGTAGTAGTGCAGATACCACTGTTCTTGCATCTCATCTGCTCAACACAAAACCTCAGTCAATCTAGCTAGTACATCAGTTCGTGTAGCTTACTTCAATGATCAATGTAACTAAACATTTTCGCCTCGAAATCATGAAATCACAATATCTAGACTGTTTCAGCTAATGTACAATGTGAATTTTTGTGTTTTTAGTTTGCACTTCCCCAAAGACATCAACCCTCCCATTACAAAGGCATTTGTACATTCTACCCAATATAAATTCACCCGTCTAAAGTTAGTTGTCACGTTGCTAGTTCAAAATATTTAGCGCACCATAGATCTATCAATCTTAAGCTATACCTGAAAGCATGCACCACATTTTTCACCATTGGAGTAAATAGAAGGAATAGCAGCAGCAACATGTCCACCATAGTAGTCCAGAGCAACAGGACCATACCCACAAGATCCAGCTACATTAATTCAATAAATTAAAGGTTAGCAATGTCAATTTTCCACAAATTATCATCTGGGTTGTTGTTAATTAAGCCAAAAACAAAATTAATAATGAATTTGAGTTGAGAAAAGTGTGAGATAATTACCAGAAAGACCTGCAGAGCTAGAAAAGAAAGTAGCTTTTGATAAAACACATTGATTACAGGCAGCAGAAGCAGAGGAGAAGAAGAGGAAGATGAAACAGAGTAGAATAGCCATTTTCAGGGAGATTTGTTTTGAGATATTGAAATTGGGAATTGGGATGATGATGGTTTCTATATATAGAAAGAAAATACGTAAAGTATTGTTTATTTTACTAAAATTCAGTGTACTTTCTTTAGTGGGGAGGAGACAAAGCAATTTCGCAGAGGGCGGGAAAAATAATTAACAAACTAATTGCTTAAAGCATGGCTATATTTTACAATATAAATAAATGATTACTCTATATTTTTTTTAATTAATTATTTAATACTTTATTTATATTATTTATTTTTTTTATTAATTACTCTGTAATAATAATTATTTTATACTTCCTCCTACTGAAAAATTGTCATAATTAATCTTGAAATTTTAATAATTTTTTTAATGTACAAATTTTAGTAATTAACAAACTAATTGCTTAAAGTATTGTTATATAGTTTTGATCATCATTGAAATGTACTCTTTTCATTTTTTTTTTGACAGAAAGAGATGTACTCTCTTCATCGCCAAATAAAAATGACATTTACTTTTTGCATAATTTTTTTAAAAAGTAAATAAATGTAGAGTAGTTATTTGAAAGACATAATGATTATATATTTGTAATTCATTCGACATCAAGCTAATTTTTAATTCTGAAATACGAATATCACCTCATGGCTCATATAATCAACATGTAAAACTTTTCTGCGGGGCAAAACCATGCCACTAAAAGCTCTACTACTATGTTTAAATAGATCCCTTCTTTTTTGGTAGACAAGAAGAAGGGTTACACAAGGTTGAAACTTTTTATTAGTCAAGTTGGCCTGGGTTAGCGAGTTAGGCCCTTTACAAATTTAAAGACAGAAAGGGGAGGAGTTACGGAATTTCACTCCAAATTGCCTATAGTGAGAATTGATCTTCCTTAGATGTAAACTTTTCCAAGTATTTAGAGATCTATTAATAGTACAATTAAAATGTCACAATTGATTACTAGCTTGGCCCGCTATACGAGATCTTATATGGAGTAATTCACATGTTTTACAAAAAGAACACCATCTAAAACACAGTGAAATGAGGAAAGGAACTCAAAAGCTAGAGTAAAATGATTTTCATGATACATTGAAAGACATACAAAATCAGATAACCAAGCTATTACATGAAGCCGAACCAGCCTAGCTAGCTTAGCTTGCGCCTTGGGCTTTTTTGCTACAATTATGAACTATGGTAAAACACACGAATTAATCATCCAGACACACTAACACTACTCAAAGGAGTGTGCACAATTTTATTTCCAGGTTGTACAAGGAGCGCAACCAGTTAAGGCAACATTATTAATTTGCACACTAGTATTGTATATGACACCAGGCTTCCAGTTTGCCGGCAAGGCTTCATTAACATAGACAAATTGTGCATCGAAACCGGAGTTGATGATAAATCTAAGCATCAGCTTCCCGCTTGGAGCGTTATTTGTGTCAAAGACTGCCCCATAATTTCGGCTCAGTGATACCCAATTACTTGGGTGATCAACCTATATATATGCAAGATATAGACAATAGAAAAAGCAGTAGAAAAATTAGTTTAATTAGACTACATTTTTGGTAAGTCAAGGTGTTATTAGAGCATGTAACGATTTGTTGCTTACCGAGGCTACATCACCACCTAAGATAGAGGTTTGACCACCTTGGTAGAGGACTTTGACAGCCAAAAAGTTGGGAAATTTGCTGAATTTTTCCACTTGGATGGCTAAGTTTTTACCTTTGTAAACACAGGGTACCCTGTTGCATAATCATCAATATCATTAGTGTTTATAATGTATATTACTATAATAAAAAATAAAAAAAGCCACATATCATTTAAATACATAGTATACACTACTGTATATACTATATACACCTAATTGGACTTGGGTACATGTGCTACTGACTAAATATGGACTGATGAAAGTATAGTATAAACATAAATTGATACTGAGTAAATCAGTAGATGAATAATGTCACAAGTTTCAATCAATCTTAAGTAACGACTTTTACCTTTTATATTCGACATCTGCGATCCCAACACGTAAGAGTTGTGTGTCCTTACCGGGCAAGGCCATAGCCCTAAAAGCTCTATTACTTAGCACAAAATCAGTTGTGTTGCTCTTATCAGTGTGAACATCAGTCACAACTATTGTTGTACCTTTGGTAGTGCAAATAGCACTGTTCTTGCATCTCATCTGCTCAACACAACGCCTCAGTCAATATAGTACTCGTAGTATCAATGATCACTTTAATTTAACTGATTAAACTCGAGTTGTCCTGATTTAGTTGTCACGTTACTAATTTAAATGATTTAGGCATTAAGCCTAGCATAGATCGATCTTGTAGTGAAACAGATAAGCAATACCTGAAAGCAAGCACCACATTTTTCACCATTGGAGTAAATAGAAGGAAGAGCAGCAGCAACATGTCCACCATAGTAGTCCAAAGCTATGGAACCATACCCACATGCTCCAGCTGCATTTATATATTCAACAAATTAAAAACTACCCTTTTTATTTTTTGACAAATTAACATTTGGGTTGTTGTTAATTAAACCAAAAACAAAAGATTACCTGAAAGACCATTATTGCTAGAAAAGAAAGAAGCTTTGGATAAGGCACATTGATTACAGGCAGCAGAAGCAGATGAGAAGAAGAGGAAGATGAAACAGAGTAAAATACCCATTTTCATACAGATTTATTTTGAGATATTGAATTTGGGATGCTAATGCTTTCTATATATAGAAATTAAATGTAAGTGACATATGGTTTGTTTTTATGTTACTCATATTTGTGGTACTTTCTTTAGTGGGAGAGGAAACGGCGTAATTTCGCAAAACGCGGGAAAATTAATTAACAAATCAATTGCTTAAAACATGATTAATTGATTTAAATAAAAGAAATATTCATTTAGTTAAGCTCAATAAATTTTCAGATTGGAGTAATCATTAATCTCACCCTACATACAAGTATGCAACTTTGAGAATCAAGGTTGGTCTAGTGATCATAGGCCTTTTTTATTCTCTGTAAGACGAGTTTGATTCACATCCCAAAATAAGTGGGATACCCCCCTACTTACAAGGGAAATTATGCGTAGTGTAAGTATTATATTAAATATTTTTTTCTTAGAAAATTGAGAAGATATTTCTATGTAATTATAATAATAATTATTTTTGCAGGGAGTATTATTCAGAAAGGATTGTATTTTTATTAATTACCATTGATCACCGACGAAAGGGCATAGCAGCTACACGTGACTTTGTCTCAAATTGAGCAATCTATAAATATATTGATTTTAAATTGATCAAGCCATTAATTAAGGTACAGTGTTTTCCATATACAAGTACTTAAAGTTTAATTTTAATGAGAGTAAGGGATAGATAAGATGGTTAGAGCTATCCTTCCGATTTCAAGTAATTTTAGGATCGATTCTTATCACTCGTTATTATAGCCTTGTAGGTCTCTAAACACCAAAAAAAAAATTAAAAGTTAAAATGCATAATAGATAAATAGTGCAAAACTCATAATGTGACAAATAATATAGGAATACATAATTAAGACCATCCATGTGTTGTTTTGTTGGATACTTTTGGTGAGCTATGTTTAGTCTTTCACATAAATTTTCCCTCTTTTAAAATAAAGGATAATTTGCAAATTACCACCCAAAAATAGTATTAATTTCTAAATAACCACCCAATTAAAATTTTATTTTAAATTACCACCCATTAAATTAAAAAAACGCTCAGATTACCACCCATTTTGTTTTTCCGGTGGAATTTCCGTCAGTGGGCCCCACTTTTTTTTTTTTTTTTTTCCTTTTTTTCCTTCTATTTTCTGGCTTTCTCACTCTCTCTCCCCGACTTCCCCCCGCAGCAGCATATATATTAGATAACATTGAGAAATTTCCGGCTTCTGTTGGATCAACTTTGACCAAATGCTTCAAAACCTCCTGTGCAATTTCCACAGGGTAATGCAACCGGCATGCTCCTAAGAGCGTACCCCAAATGACAGCATTTGGTTCCATTGGCATATTCTGCACAACCTCCAAAGCTTCCTTTAGACGCCCACCCCGACCTAATAGATCAACCAAGCAGCCATAATGCTCTATTTGGGGGACAATGTCATAATCCCTTTCCATAGAATAAAAATAATCAAGACCCTTGTCAACATAACCCATGTGAGTGCAAGCACATAAGATACCAATGAAAGTGAATTTATCAGGTCGAAAACCACTTTTTTTCATCCTTGAGAAAAGCTTGAGTGCTGTCACTCCATCTCCATGCATAGCTAAACCTTGGATAATGGTGTTCCAGGAAACTAAATCTCTTTCAGACATCCCCTGGAATACAACTAATGCTTTTTCTGCACATCCGCACTTGGCATACATATCAATCAATGCATTATTCACTGCGACACTACATCTAAAACCAGTTGCCACAATTGAGGAACGAACTCTCTTCCCAAGTGTGAGCAAACCAGACTCGGCGCAAGCAGCTAGGATACTAATAATGGTCCCATCATCAAATTTCAATCCTAAACTTTCCATTTCATTATACAAAGATATAGCCTCCTTTGTGAATCCATTTCCAGCATACCCAGAAATTATTATTGTCCATGACACCAAATTCTTAACAGGCATCTTATCAAAGAGTAACCTAGCCATATCCAAATCCCCTGCTTTCGTATAACCCGAAACCATGGTAGACCAAGATACAACATTTCTCTCAGGCATCTTTTCAAACATTTGAAACGCAGCATCCATGTCTTTTGCTTTAACATACCCATCTAACATTATATTCCAGCTCACAGCATCTTTCTCAGGCATTTCATCAAACAGTTGGCGAGCATCTTTCAAATTACCCCCTTTAACCAACCCCCTAATCAATGAATTCCAAGAAACAATATCTCTATCCTCCATGAACACAAACAACTTCCTAGCAGAACTAACACCAATCACCCCACACTTACAGTAACTATCAATCAACGAATTGGGTACAAAAATATCACCAAAAAAACCTAACTTTATCATCTGGGTATGAACCATTTGAACCAATTGCAATGAACAGGGTCCACTACAAGCCTTAAGAAGAAAAGGGTATGTAAAATTATCAGGGAAAACGCCATTATTAAGCATATCAAGAAAAGTAATGAAAGCTTGAGAAGATTGAGAATTCTGGGTATGAGCTCTAATAAGAGAATTATACAAATGAACATTGGGATATCGAACTTGATTGAATACATTAATGGCTAACCCTAATTGATGGCAGAGAGAGAAAGCAGAGATTAATTTAGGTGCTATAAAAGGGTCATTATGAAGATTAGCTTTGAAAATTTGAGCATGAATTTGAGCATGAAGAAAGAAAGAAGGTAGGAAGAAGAAGAGTGAAAAATCGGGGAGAGAGAGTGAGAAAGCCAGAAAATAGAAGAAAAAAAAGGAAAAAAATAAAAAAGTGGGGCCTACTGACGGAAATTCCACCGGAAAAATAAAATGGGTGGTAATCTGAGCGTTTTTTTTAATTTAATGGGTGGTAATTTAAAACAAAATTTTAATTGGGTGGTTATTTAGAAATTGATACTATTTTTGGGTGGTAATTTGCAAATTATCCTAAAATAAATGTTACATTCGAGAAAGGTACAGTCACAAGTAGAGCTAATGAGCTATCAATTCGGGTAAATGGGTTGAGTTTGGGTCGGGTAAGGGTGGGTCGGGTTAACTTGAGTTGGGTCAATTCAGATTAATTTCATAATTTATGCGGGTTGGGATTGGGTTGGGTCATGCTTGACTCGGGTCACGTCGGGTCATACTTCTTATCAGGTTTGGGTCGGGTTTAGGTCGGGTTAATAATAGATCGGGTTACATTCGGGTCGGGTGAACAATAATTCGGGTTTAATTCGGGTTTTCACGGGTTAAAACGGGTTAGGGTAATTCTCGGGTTCAAGTCTCCGATCCCAAGACAAAATGCTTTGATCAACAATAATAAGGTGGTCTAAATTGCATTTAAGATGATTTGAAATCGGGTCAAGAACAATTTGGGTTGAATTTAGGTCGGGTAAATAACAGTCATGTTAATTTCGAGTCGAGTTACTAACAGATTAGGTTGAATTTTTAGGTTGGGTTAGTAATAGGTCAGGCAAAATTCGAGTCGGTTCAATAACAAGTCGGGTTGAATTTGGGTCAGGTCAATAACAAGTCGGGTTAATTTTGGGTCGGGTTTATAACAGGTTGGGTTAAACTCGGGTCGGGTTAGGAATGGATCGAGTTGAATTCAAGTCAGGTTAGTAACAAGTTGGGTTAAATTCGGGTTTTGACGGGTTAAAACGGGTCTGGGTCAATTTCGGTTCAAGTCGGGTTCGATGCAAGTTAATTAAATTAGCCGTTGTAAACCGGTAAAACGGTGCAAGTTGTAAACCGGTAAATATGCCGTTTAAAAGAAAATTGAATGGTTCCACACACCCAATTGGACTCCCTGGGGGTATTAGGGACCATAGTAAACATTTCGGCAATTTTTATTTCTAGGCGAAAAAAAGTCAAAAAATTCCAAAATTAAAGGCTAATATCCACGCTTTTTGAGAAATTTTTGAGGTTTTGGGGCCCGGTGTCGAAAAGTCTTGAAATTCTATGAGATACATCTCGAGGTCATATTATGCCGATTGGAACCATATATGATCATTATTTGTTGTCATAAATGTTCATGGTAGGCTTAAATTAATAAATCGGTGCAAGTAGTAAATCGGTAAATTGGTCGTTTAAAGGCAAATTGGATGGTTCTACCCACCCAATTAGACTCCCGGAGGGTATTAGGGACCATGATAAAAATTTCGGCAATTTTTATTTCCGGGCGAAACAAAATAAAAAAATTTCAAAATTGAAGGCTAATATCCACGCTTTTTGAAAAATAATGGAGGTTTTGGGGCCTGATATAGAAAAGTATTAATATATTTTAGGGGATACATCTTGGGGTCATATAATGCCAATTGGGACCATATATGATCATTATATGTTGTCATAAATGTTTGAGGTAAGCTTGAGTTAATGAAATCGGCGCAAGTTGTAAACCGGTAAATTGGCCGTTTTAAGGCAAATAGGATGGTTTCACCCACCCAATTGGACTCACAGAGGATATTAGGGACCATGGTAAAAATTCTGGCAATTTTTATATCCTGGCGAAGAAAAGTAAAAAAAATCCAAAATTGAAGGCTAATATCCACACTTTTTGAGAAATTTTGGGAGTTTTCGGGGCCCGGTGTCGAAATGTCTTGTAATGCTAGGGAATACATCTCGGGGTCATATAATGTTGTTTGAAACCATATATGATCATTATTTGTTGTCATATTGTTCGTGGTAGACTTGAATTAATGAAATTGGTGTAAGTTATAAACCGGTAAATTGGTCGTTTAAAGGCAAATAGAATTGTTAGACCCACCAAATGGGACTCCTGGACGGTATTAGGGACCATGGTAAACATTTTGGCAATTTTTATTTCCGGGGGAAAAAAAGTCAAAATTTTCAAAATTGAAGGCTAATATCTACGCTTTTTAAGAAATTTTGGAAGATTCGGGGCCTGGTGTCGAAAAGTCTTGAAATTCTAGGGGATACATTTCGGGGTCAATTAATGCCATTTGGAACCATAATGATCATTAATTGTTGTCATAAATGTTCGTGGTATGCTTGAGTTAATGAAACCGATGCAAGTTATAAACCGGTAACTATGTAATTTAAAGGCAAATTGGATAGTTCTACCCACCCAATTGGACTCCCAAAGGGTATTAGGGACCAGGTAAATATTTAGGCAATTATTATATTCGAGCGAAAAAAGTAAAAAAAATCCAAAATTAAAATCCCAATTGGAGGTTTCGGGGCCCGGTGTCGAAAAGTCTTGAAATTGTAGGGGATATTTCTCGGGGCTATATAATGCCGTTTGGGACCATATATGATCATTATATGTTGTCATAAATGTTTGTGGTAAGCTTGAGTTGATGAAATCGGGGCAAGTTGTAAACTGGTAAATTGGTCTTTTAAAGGCAAATAGGATGGTTTCACCCACCCAATTGGACTCCAGGAGGATATTAGGGACCATGGTAAACATTTCGGCAATTTTTATTTTTGGGTGAAGAAAAGTAAAAAAATTTCAAAATTGAAGTAATCCACGCTTTTTGAGAAATTTTGGGAATCTTCGGGGTCTGGTGTCGAAAAGTCTTGAAATTCTAGGGAATACATCTCGCGGTCATATAATGTTGTTTGGAACCATATATGATCATTACATGTTGTCATAAATGTTCGTGGTCGGCTTGAATTAATGAAATCGGTGTAAGTTGTAAACCGGTAAATTGGTCGTTTAAAGGCAAATTGGATGGTTCCACCCACCCAATTGGACTCCCAGAGGGTATTAGGGACCATGGTAAATATTTCGGCAATTTTAATTTTCGGGCTAAAAAAAGTCAAAAAAATTCCAAAATTAGAGGCTAATATCCATGTTTTTTGAGAAATTTTGGAGGTTTCGGGTCCGGTGTCGAAAAGTCTTGAAATTGTAGGGGATATATCTCGGGGCCATATAATGCCGTTTGGGACCATATATGATCATGATACGTTGTCATAAATGTTTCTGTTAAGCTTGAGTTCATGAAATTGACGCAAGTTGTAAACCGATAAATTGGTCGTTTAAAGGCAAATAGGATGGTTTCACGTACCCAATTGGACTTCCGGAGGATATTAGGGACCATGGTAAATATTTCGGCAATTTTTATTTCCGGGCAAAGAAAAGTAAAAAAATTCCAAAATTGATGGCTAATATCTATGCTTTTTGAGAAATTTTGGGAATATTTGGGGTCTGGTGTTGAAAAGTCTTGAAATTCTAGGAAATACATCTCGGGGCCATATAATGTTGTTTGGAACCATATATGATCATTACATGTTGTCATAAATGTTTGTGGTGGGCTTGAATTAATGAAATCGGTGTAAGTTATAAACTGGTAAATTGGTCGTTTAAAGGCAAATTGGATGGTTCCACCCACCCAATTGGACTCCCGGACGGTATTTGGTACCATGGTAAACATTTCGGCAATTTTTATATCCGGGCGAAAAAAAGTCAAAAAATTTCAAAATTGAAGGCTAATATCCACGCTTTTTGAGAAAATTCGAATGTTTCGGGGCCTGGTATCGAAAAACATTGAGATTTTAGGGGACACATCTAGGGGTCATATAATGTCGTTTGGATCCATATATGATCACTATATGTTGTCATAAATGTTCGTGGTAGTTTGAGTTAATTAAATCGGTACAAGTTGTAAATTGATAAATTGATCGTTTAAAGGCAAATTAGATGGTTCTACCCAACCAATTGGACTCCCAGAGGGTACTAGGGATCTTGGGAAACATTTCGACAATTTTTATTTGCGGGTGAAAAAAAGTCAAAAAAAATTCAGAATTAAAGGCTAATATTCACGTTTTTTAAAGAAATTTTTGAAGTTTCGGCCCACAAGTCCACAACCAATAAGTTAAGATACATTGTATAAGAATACAGGAAGAGAAATACTATTTGGAGAGAGATTAAAAAATCTAGCCAGCCTTACGACTTGGTGATTTTTTGTTACAATTTTGATCATTGGTAACGCTAATAAGTACAAACAAATCTTCCAACATGCAAACAAAATACTCAATTCATTTCCAGGTTTTACAAGGAACACAACCGTCTAAAGCAATATCACTGATTTGCACACTAGAGTTGTATACCACACCAGGCTTCCAGTTTGCAGGGAGGACACCTTCGTTGGTATAGAAGTATCGGGAATCGAAGCCGGAGTTGATGATGAACCTGAACACCAGTTTCCCACTTGGAGCATTGTCAGTGTCCCATACCGCCCCATAGTTTTGGCTCAGGTAAACCCAGTTACTTAGATTATCAACCTATACACAAAGTATAGCAAAAAACAGTACAAAATTAGTTATAATATGATGAGACTACATTTTTTGCAATTCAAGATTTTATCCGAATATGTAACGCTTAATTTCTTACCGAGGCTACATCACCACCTAAGATAGATGTCTGACCACCTTGGTAGAGGACTTTGATTGCCAAATAGTTAGGAAATTTGCTGAACTCTTCCACTCGAATCGACAAGTTTTGACCTTTGTAAACACAGGGTACCCTGTCGCATATTGATCACAATATGTTAGCAAGTCTTAAGCAACTAGAGGCATAATGTGTTATAATACGGTCTTTTTTTTTGCCTCATCCTAGTTGACTTATTTGACACGCATATTAAGGGTCTGTTCTCATTGACTGAACTCAGCTGAACTGAAGTGAAATTATTAGAGCTGAAATGAAATGAATATTTTATAAGAGAAGGAAATTAGGAGCTGAACTGAACTGAAAATAATCATATGAGAACATGCCCTAAGTCAACTAAAATTAAAGATAATGTTAATAATGTAATTTGAACTAAATCTCGACAAATGAAGTAAAACATGAATGCAGATAAATAAATTAGTAGATGATCATTGGAGGGAAAAAACTTCAAGCAATAAGTAACGATTATGACCTCTTATATTCAACATCTGCAATTCCAACATGTAAGAGTTGTCTGTCCTTGCCAGGCAAAGCCATAGCCCTAAAAGCTCTGCTACTTAGCACGAATTGTGTAGATTTGGTCTTATCAGTATGAACATCAGTAACAACTATCTTTGTGCCTTTTGTACTGCAAATCGCGCTGTTGTTGCACCTTATCTGCTCAACACAACACCTCAGTCAGTCTAGTGAGTGCTTGTAGCATCAATGATCAATTGAAATTAAATCATTATCGCCTCGAAAACAAGCTAATAAGGGGTACCTGAAAGCAAGCACCACAGCCTTCACCTTTCTTGTAAATAGAAGGAAGTGCAGCAGCAACATGTCCACCATGAAAGTCTAGTGCATAAGGACCATACCCACAAGCTCCACCTGCATTATTACTTCAACAAATTAAAGGCTAACCACTTCATTTTTTTTTACTAATTATCCTTTGGTTTGTTGTTAATAAAGCCAAAAATAATTATATGATGTATATTTCCAAAATACAAAGACTACCAGGGTATGAGTATGTGTGGATGAATAATTATTTCAAAAAGTCAAAACGAGACAACTAAAAAAAAAAAACTAACAGAGTAAGCATTAGGATTTAAGATAATGAAGAGAAAATTACCTGAAAGACCCTTAGAGCTAGCAAAGAAAGCAGCTTTTGAGAAGACACATTGTTTACAAGTAGCAGAAGCAGATGAAAAGAAGAGGAAGAAGAAACAGAGTAAAACACCCATTTTCATATACACAGATTTGTTAGTGAGATATTGTAATTAGGGTGGTGATGATGCTTGTTATATAGTGCACATTCTTTAGCTGGACAAATACAAACAAAATACGCAAAGCGCGGGGAAATTAATCACCAACTTAATTGCTTAAAGCATGATTACATGATTAAGTAGTATAAGTAAGTGATTTAAGCATGGTAACATGCAAGTGATTTAAAACTAATTAGTATTTAAAACAATGGGCCTTTGATTGCATTGCCTAAGTTCATCCCATTAATGGGTATGCATGATGCATGTGGGCAATGTATGTAATCTGTAATGTCTAAAGTATATTTATGTGTTTTCTTGGTCTATACTCCT